GATTGGATGTCGTTGGTATAATGGCGTGACGTCGATTACTCCATGCCAGCGTAAAAAATAATTACATAAACTTGATCATCATAAAAAAATAAGAGATTTCAGGGATGACCTAAGATACTTGAAGGCTCAGTGAAGCCGAGTGGTGACCAGCTAGACTTAAGCTAATTCAGTAAATTTATCATCACGTATGAGATATTCAGATACAAATAAGGTGGTTTATAAATAAAGTGGATTTTTCCAATCAGATTTCAACAGAGTGCACAAGCTTAACCTCGTAAAAAATAAGAGAGTTCCAGAATTAAAAAAAAAAAAAATATATGATTATTGTTGAGAATTTAAGATAATCTTCACGTAAAGTAACTTGAGAAAGATGAAGCTTGAGAACGAACCTTGATAATCCAAAGACAAACAAAGTTGTGACAAGCCCACACTACATTAACTCGAGTACACTTATGTTATATCATCATAATTATCGCTGAGGACACGAGATGACGACTGAGTGCGTACTGGGTGCCTCCTGATTTGCGCCGGGTAGTTTGAGTTCGCTCTTGGAATATGGACCTTGAGGCTCTCTCCGATACACTTGTGTTATGCTCATCTAATTTACCTCCGACCAGATATTATGTTTCATTTTTGTTTGTTAATTTAGCGGCCACCTGCTGCTGCTGCTGCTGGCTCTGCTCCCTGTGTTGTGACTCTGTTGGTGCTTTATTCTGGCTGTTGTTCTTATTTGTTATTATTATTGTTTGTGTTGTTGTTATGGTAATGATGTGTGTGTGTGTGTGTGTGTGTGTGTGTGTGTGTGTGTGTGTGTGTGTGTGTGTGTGTGTGTGTGTGTGTGTGTGCTTGTTTGTATGTCTACTGTATCTGAATCTTTACCTGAGTTTGTATCTGTGTATGCATTGTAATTATTCGTACCTACTGATAGTTGACGTGTGTCTGTACTGATGTTTGTACTGTACCTGTAATAGTATTTGTATATGTAACCTACACATGTACTTGTCAATTTACCTCTGCTTGTATTTGTTAATTGCTTCGTATTTGTATGTGCACCTGAACTCGCACTCGAAATTCTACCTGTAAATGTTGTTATATATCTGCCTGATCCCTGCACATGATTTGTACATACACTTGTATCTGTATTGAGGCTGTATATGTATTACTACTGGTATATGTACTTATAAAATGAACCTCTGCTTGATATGCAAATCTACCCTAAACTGATATTTGTAAATTAAAAGAAAAAAATAGATTGAATTAAATATGTCAATTTTTGCCCCCTGCTGGTAGTGACTCTTTACTCTCATCCTTTAACTGGTTCATATTTTGCCAACATTCACATTTGATGTCGCATCATTATGTGTTTATAGTCGTCGAATCTTAAGTATTTCCCTGACGTTTTATCGAGAGTAATATTAATTTTGTTCATAAATATTCTTGGTTAGTCTGACATCCAGGTATATATATTTTGTTTTTATTATTAATTTATTTATTTTTAATTCTCTACTAGTTGACTTTTTTTTTCTCTATTTACTAATATTAGACGAAATTTCTCAGGTGCCAGTATAACTATTTTGCTATACACTAAATTTTTCTAGGGATTTGTAAATGTTTTTCTTTAAATATTTTTCTTTTTTATATATTCAGGGCCCGGTAAACACCTCTGTCCTTCAGCACAAAGTTCCTGTATTTTGTCTTTGTTAAAGGTATATATAATCTTTAAATACTAGATAGAATCTTTTCACTTTAATATCAGTTATTTGTGAAGATCAAAAACCTCCTCCTTCAGAGTCTTGTTATTACGACTCGCGAGATCTTATGTAGATTCTCACTACAACCTGATTGATCAAAGGCTTCAACGCTATATTGCATTTACGCACTTTTTGAGTTCAGTGATCACCAGAAGCTCTTAGACGATTTATCTCAAATCTGGGACACATTATCGACGCAGTTTGATGTTTGGAAGTTGTGTGAGAGAAGCTGCTGCGTGAGGCTACACAGGCTGGGTTTGTTTATATAATAATGGTAGATTCTGATGATTATGTTGTATTGTTATTTGTTAAGTTATTGGCTTTATGAATGATAGGTTTAAGGTTAAGGCTTTATTATTATTATTATTATTATTATTATTATTATTATTATTATTATTATTATTATTATTGTTGTTGTTGTTGTTAGTATTATTATTATAGGGGAGGATTTAATAATATTTGAATTAGGCGTGTGTGTAAATATCCTAAAAATAGTGCGTATCGCAAAGGTTGGTAGCTCTGGCTGTTCTGCAGAGCGGCAAAATTACTGTAAACACACGGTCGTTCATATCCGACTCCCTAGGAATTATCGCTGTAATTTCAGCAGGTATGTGATTGAGTTGCGGGGGGAAGGGTGAATATTATGTGTAAACAAGTGTAGATCACTGGGATAATAGCTGGAGGTATAAACAGTATGAATCTTGTGAAGCTGTTATCCAATGATGGAGAGAGTTGGTGATGGGAGCAACGAGGGGAATTTAGAGGTATTTTAATCTGTGACCTTGCTGCTCCAAGAATGGTTACCATGAGGCCCAGCTGTGTTTGGTAGTGTGACATGATCCTGTTGCTTGGTGAGAAATCTCCAGTGTTTAACTGTAAAACTTTGCTACTAGGAACCAATGAGTGGTGCTCCAAATAGCATCTCAGTGGACGCGTGCATGTCGCATATACCAACATCAAGTGAAAATTAGGCAGATATTCACTGCCAACGGTGATGATATCAAATGTTATACCTAGCAAGGTGACCCAACCACCGTGAACTGATAATATGACTAAACACATTGAATATAGTGGTGTGAACAGTGGTTGTTGTCTTGTAGAGCTGTGTATTGCTCGTAACAAGGACATCAAGAAGTTGCCAACCAGTGCATAGTGGTGGATAAGGTAGCAGTGCTGTGATAGAGTAAACTTTAAGATTGTAAAGAAAAGAAGTAATCTTATTAACTCAATTAAGCTAACAATAGTGGAGACCTGCTGGAGAGTGCATGACCTAGCGAGTGAGTGTACTTGATTCTTAGTGTGAGGGAGACTGGTGTTTGTGATGTAATATGGTGGTGGTGGGGAAGAGTCTCAGTATTGGCTCTAATTTTGTTTTAATGCATTTGCTATTCGTTTAAAGAGTTTTATGGTATTTTCCTTTACACACACACACACACACACACACACACACACACACACACACACACACACACACACACGATAAATTATCATAAGGAGAACGACCTTACCTGAACCAAGGTAACAGGCAGCGGATTCTCATTCTCACACGTTTCACCTGAGTCTTACCTCTCACGCTATGCATTTGTTCTCCTCTGAAGGGAAGAGGAAGAGTTAGAGGAGCATCACACACACACACACACCCTGACCATGAGAAAGAAATACAGGAAACACACAAACTAAACGGAATTTGAAAACCATTCTTAGTGGGTTTTTTTTATCAATGGATGTTCAGTATAGGAGGCGAGGCTTTGGTGAGTGTGTCAGTTGTACAGGAACACTAAATAATCTTACCAGTGTTCGGTCCTTCGTTGTGATTACAGTTTCTTTCATTTTTACTATTTTTCTGTCAGTCCGCGAATTTCTTAGACTGTCACTCGCTAGAAATATTTGGTGTATGATATTGAAGTGATGTCCAATACTGTTTTTTTTTATTATTATTATTGTATATTTGTTTTTCCATCTAGTAATTCCAGTTCTTTTTTTTTCAGATGTTTATATTCATTCATGATTCTGTTTAATCTATATTTTTGTTTTATAATTATAATTTTACTCTTTTTTACTTTCACGTTTTCATTTTAAGAGTTTGTGGATCACCTGAAGATTAGACACCCGAAATTACTTCCCCAGATGACTAAACACTAATGCTACCTGGGAACCAAACCCTCACCTGATTTTTTTATTTATTTATTTATTTATTTATTTATATTTTAAGTGTTTCTGTGTTGCTCAGCCAACTTGATTTTATGTTTTAAATTATGTGTCTTTTTAGGGCAGTTTTCTCACGGTTACGCAGTGAGCTCCCTGCTGTTGGTACGTGTTAGAGCCAGGCTTATATCTTGTGCTCTCGTCTTCCGTTAATTCTGTACAACCAACTTACATGAAAACATAAGTTAAGCTGCCGTAGAGTTTAAGCTGTGATGACACATACAGTATACCGTTAAGTTGTATGTAGGTAAACTTTAGCAGCCAGACACACCTAAAGATCTACAGTATACATATGTTTTCCTTGTTTTCATCTCAACGTGGTTACCTACATATTAGGCGCACTCACCGACTGTTCTGGGGGCGGTGGTTCGATTCCCGGGTGCTCCCAGTTCACCCAGCTGTAAATGGGTACCTACGTTTACAACTGAGGGAAGTGAATACGGTGTAGAGCAGTACCGACCATGCTGCCTTCTTGTGTACCGATGACTGTATACAGTGTGCTGTTATCATCACTGTCCGTGACGGGCAGCCATGCTTATGGAACCCACTTACACCTGCATATTATAATTAATTACGTGTATTTTGTGTCTGTTGGTGTATATTAGTAAGGTGACAGGTGAAAATGCTTAAATTACATGAACGCAAAATGTATCAAAAACATTAATATCTAAACTTACCTTTTTCTATAGTGATTTCAAACGCTGTTCCCAGATGACACACACACACACACACACACACACACACACACACACACACACACACACACACACACACACACACGCGCGCGCGCGCGTATTGTAATAATGTAAGATAATTTATTTCTTAACCAACCTCTTACAGAAGTGTACTTAAGATATTTCATGTTGGAAGTTTGGTAGGCCTCCCCCTCCCCCTTCTCTGGACCCGCCTCTTTAATTTACGTGTTGCTGTGATTTGTGTTGGAAGTTTCTGCTGCCAGGGTTTAATTACTAAACTGTTCAGTAACTCTTTATGTCTGCAGTATAGTCAGCAAACTTGGTAACACTGGGTCATTGTCTCCTGCAGACGCATCAACGTGACCAACTTTGGCCCCCGGGAGGCTTGTCTCTCACCCCTGGAGGAGCAGAGGACCTTCATCATCCTCGCCACCTCCAAGACCGGTCGTCGTCTGCGTGCCCACTACGACCACCCAGGAGGCGCCGCCGTCCAGTGGACCAAAGAAAACGAGGAAGAAGTGTGGAGGGCCTTAGGTAAGTGACTAAGTTATTGCTCCTGGTTGAACTTTCCACTTATTGTATTGCGTTAAGGTGAGAAAATCTACCACTTATTATACGGGCAATATAAGCCAAGCAAACAGAGTTTAGCGAACCAAAAGGCAGATTAGTTCGGTTAGTTCCGATTTACTGCGTCCGTGTTTGTTTTTCGGAAAATAACTCCACAGTTAATGATTTAGTAGTCTTGTCTGTGATTCCGTTTTAAGATTGATAATTTTGCGATCCCTGGAGAGTTTTCGTGTCTGTTATTTATCTAGTGATTTTTATGTTATTGACTTGTATAAATATTCACATCGTTTGCCAAGTTTTCAGGGTATTTATTGAAACAATACACAAAGGCCTGCGTTTGTGTGTGTGTGTGTAGGCGTTTCATTTGGACAAATTTTAGCATTTATCCTTGTTATAATATGTTCGTAATATATGTTACAATGTCTCACCTATACATACGTTACAGTGATATAATAAGCGCTACAGCGATTCAGTTGTGTATGTTACAGTGACCGGATTAAATACAGAGAAAGAGTTTATCTCTAACGTAACTGAAATATACTGTATTTACTGGGATCAACAGAGGCATATTGTCGGTAATCATGGGCTTGTTTTAACACCGAGAGAACAATAAAAAGACAAGGCTAGTCCAGTAAAGATGATCGGTACTAATTTATAACTTTATTTTAGTTGTTTTGTGGTGAAGGTAACGCACTGGTTCATGGGTGTCATTACTAACATCTGCCGAGTATTACACAAGAGCTGCCACAGTTAACAGTAATAGTTTATAACGTACATTATCGGAAAAATTAAATTATACTGTCAATACTTGATATAGAAAGTCTTATCCTCACTCACACTACACTACATGTCACCCTTAATCTTATGTAACTCGTGCTAAAGATAATACAATAACAGGTGAATTATCAGTATAAACACATACACTACACTACACGTACAAACATTGGCTGACTTTGTATTAACGGCTAATGTAGAGGAAAATAATTAAATTAACAGACATCGACGGATAAGTGTTTATTGTTAGATATGAATACATAATTTCACTCTGTTACTTTTTTAAATTAAATTTTTTACGGGCATTAGCCCACCCGGGCACAGGTCATTTTATGATGATCTACATCAAGGTCCAGGGGGCGAAAATGTAATAAAATAATAATAATAATAATAATAATAATAATAATAATAATAATAATAATAATAATAATAATAATAATAATAACAATAATAACAATAATAATAATAATAATAATAATAATAATGACTACAGTATAATAAAAAATATTATTAATAATAACATTTATAAAAAGCCATAAATAACAACAATCAAGAGTAAGAAACAATATATGTATGTTGTGTTGTCAAAGTAAGAGAAACAATTGAGACCCTGTAATTGTGTTTAAATGAGGCAGAAATTCAGATCAGCAACCTGGGACTTGGTCACAATATATGTGATGCCATATGGCAGCAGGGTCTACCAACTATGTAATAACAACCGAAAATTATGACTAAATGAATAAATCAGTCAAGAAACAAACGTGTATTGAAATGTAATGAAGGAGCCAATGTTAAGTTAGTTGGTGTGTTAGTGACGCCGATATAGGCCCACACGTACACTTACTCACGTCACCGTCTAACTCTTTGTGTCAGAAATAGTTCCACTGTTTGGGTCTAAAGTTACACTTCATTAAACATTTTAGGTTCCTTTAAGATACAAACATCTCATTAAATGATTATAATATAATTATTCACCAACACCGGGTGAACTAAACGTGGCCACAGGGTAATGTGTGTGTGTGTGTGCAGGAGGGTGAAGACCATTTCATACTCGCTGAGTTGACTTTAGAAGCGGTGAACTATATGTTGCCTGTTGTGGTCCAGTGCGGTAAAGAAAGTAACACCTTGATGTATGTTTTTTTTTTATCTACCACTGAGTTGAATGTGTCCAAGAAAGTTACATTGATTTTTTTCTTGTAATATTTAGACAGCGCGAGTAGTCTGTTATTCAATAAGTTTACATTTGTTGTAAATCTAGCTTGTGGTACTTGTTGTCTGAGGGTAGATCTGAGGTGCAGCTGATAGCCTTTGTACTGTACGTCGTTGTTTTGTGTGATTAAATCTTTTCATAATTCTTTGTCATTCTATACCGTATATTTAGGATGAGGATGCTACTATTACTTACTGTTATACTTTATTTTATAGAATTTTTATATGAAAAGAAAAAAAAATACAATACAGTCTCCAGTGATGGTCTAATAACTTTGTAATGTTATTTGTTGTCATCCTAAACAAAATTACCTGAACAGTTTACCAAATGCTTACGTCCGTCACTGTAACGAGAGGGAGCGGTGGTGGGGCGCATCCCTCCGACCCATAATGGCTGTAACTATAATTACTTCAGCTACAGGCGCACCCAAACCTTCCATGTTACTTTTTCACACTAAAATTAAAATCACTCAGTGAGTTTATGGGGAGTCATCGAGCAGAAAATAAATCTGTAATGATAAACGGATGGGTAGAATGACGGGAGGACGGACGGACGGACGGACATAATCACATCCAGAGACCAGACCTGGTTGAGATAACTGTGGGAGCTGTAATAGTGGGAATCATCTCTGACCTATATATCTGAAGAATCGTGTTTGGGATCTTGATTCATTAGGTTTATATAATGATATATCCCTGTTGCTTTGTTGACACACAGATCAAGAAGCTCTCTTATAAACACACAGTCATTATCTTGTGTGTCCGGATTGTACTCGCCCCGCTACTGAATATTGATTTTGGGACTCTTGTAGTTGGGGATAAATGGATTGTTGAAAGTCGGGGTGTTAAGCTGTTGTGGATTGTATACCGGAACGTCAATCTTGGGCAGCATCTTCACCAACATCTTGACGAACGGTAGGAATTTTTCGATCGTTTCTATAATACCGACGACGCCCGCGGTTGAACTTTCTGCAGGAGAAGGTAGTACGCTGGGGGTGGCTCCTGCGGTTATTTTTTCACCAAAAGAGCCAGCACCAGGAGGTGATACCTGGTCGAAAGACAACACCCCAGCCATGGACAACCCCGCCAGGCTCAAGACGCATGCCAGGACCTGCAATAAGATGTGCTTGTTAAATCATTTATGTCAATTGATAAAAAGGTAGATGGAAATTAATTGTTTTAATATTGCTTTGTTCCTTCTTCTATCCTTTCAGAGAATAACTAAATCTGCGACTCACCACCACCAGTCAGTAATTCTTACTGTAAAAACCCATAGAACATGCATCATTTTCCTCTTCCTTACTAACAATAGAAGTCGGTTTATATATACAGTAGTTCGGAACTATTTCATGATATAACCAAACTTTCTCTCCCTCTAAAAGAAACAACTTTCTAAAAAAAATAAATAAGAAATTCAAGAAAAAGACAAACATTTTCTCAAAACATCATTTAACAAAGTGTTGTACTCTTCAAAACGCTTTCAGAAAATTATGTAACCAAAACTTTCTCAACAAAAGCCCTGAAAATGATCTGTCATCAAATGCTCGCTCAAAAGTTTATCTCACAAAGCACTAAAACAATAACTCACAAAATTATCCGATTAAGTTATTCTAAGGAAAATTCCTACCCAAAATATAAAAAAGTTTCTTCGGTAATTTCACTCGTGTAGTTTTGTTTTTGTCGTGAAGATGTAGGAAACACGAAGAGGTGAGGAAGGGTCAGAAGATAATTATTCCACCTTTCTGTTATTAATTGTTGCATTATATTTTATCTAATCACTGCTCCTAGATCACATGTCTAGTATTCTTTATTCTGAGACAACTGTGCTGTTGACATTGTAGTTAGTGCTACCTGTTGTAATCACGTTGTCGTTAGACGTTATCCTCGTTAAACAATTGCAGCACCGCTTGTGTGTTTTTGTATGTGTGCACGTTTGAGTGTGCGAATCATTGTGTTTTTTGTGTGTGTATCATGTTTCTGTGTGTGCGTATCATGTGTTTTTATGCGTGCACATCATGTATATGTGTGTGAGCGCATCCTGTGTTTGTGTGTGTGCACATCATGTGTTTGTGTGTGTGAGTGTGCACCATGTGTCTGCGTATACGCATCACGTGTTCGTGTGTGTGTGTGTGTGTGCTCGTGAAATTTAATTTACGCCATCACACACAACACAAAACGATTAAGATTCCTTCATTTCATGTAATAATTCATATCTTAACACGTTAAGCAACTTCTTATGACCGGACACGACCATCAGCCGGTGTTGTATACCCCACTGTTGTGAGCTTAACACACCACACCGTTGTCAACACAATACACACATCACAGTGTTTAGGCTCAACATGCCACACACACACTGTTGCAATCTTGGCTCACCATAGACACCAGAATCATGTCAGGATTCATTCATTCAATGCTAGTAATGCACTGTCTTATCATATGGTCAAAACACACGTGGTTGAATTTTACCATAATCATTCTGGTCATATATAAAGAACAGAGGCGAGTATTGTACACTTTACCTTAGGTAGATAGTCTTTGACGACTTAGTATAATTAGAGAATTGTTTAGAAACATGAGCTCAACTCATCACTCAGGAGCTGTAATTATCACGTGGTCACAGTATCATGATTATTGTATCCTCACAGAAAGTTTATTCAGGAATATCATTAAAGCTACTGAATGGCATGGTGATAAAGGTGCAGTAACTATCACGTTGAGACAGCATCACCTCATCCTATAGATACTTCTGCCATCACCTTAGATATAAATAACTAAATACCTTACGGTTTTCTTTTGTTATCGTGTCTTAATTTTTCTCTGGTTTTGGTGGAAATCCGAAGTTGACAGTTTATTGTTATGTTGTTGTGTTTGTTCACCATTATGACACATTACAGTGTGACGTAAACTTGATGATTTATGTAACTAAACACTTATATGAACCTTACATTAATCTTCTTATCTACACATAAATCATTGCAATAGTTTGTGG